TATAAGCTGTACAGATAGATGTGGATTTAAAACAGTCAGCACTACATCATCAGGATAGCTCTTCATTTTGTATTCTTCTCCATCTACTTTTAAACCTTTCATTTTTGGGTCCCATCCTATTTTCATAGTTAAGACTTTCAGTACAACGATAAATAAAATTGGTGATAATGGACATCCTCAATGTGTCCCTTTTTCCATTTGAAAACTGTCAGTTAACATTCCATTTATAAGCTTGTAAGCACGTTGCTTAGTATAAATTGCTTGAATCCAATTCGTAACTGTCAAACCACAGTTTATGTATTGAAGGGTTTTCAGTAAAACAGACCAAGATGCATTATCAAAGGCTTTTCCTGCATCTTGAAAGATAAATGCTGCCTTCTTCCTCTTCCTCTTGACAAATTCAATAGCACTGATCACAGAGCAAACATCTTTCATAGGTCTCTTTGGGACAAAACCAGTTTGGTTTGTATGAATCTGTTTTTCAATACATTTTCTTTCTGCCATTATTAGAGTAAAAAGTTTATAGTCCATATTTAATAATAATCTATAAGAATGTGGCAGGGTAGGATAATTTCCTCTTTTGTATATCACTGTTATATGAGCTTTTTGCTATGACAGATAGTGATTTCTCTGTAATTTCATTCATTAGTTTTTGAAGAGGTAATATTCATTTTTCCTCTAAAGACTTATACATTGTGGAGAGGCCACTAGGCCCAGGTGTTTTATCTTTCTTAATTTTTTAATGGCTTGTGTTATCTCTTGGGTGGTTATGATACCATTCAATATTCCTCTTTGGTCAGTTGTAAATTATTCAATATGGGCCTCCTATATATTGCTCCATTCCGTCTAAAGTTTGGGGAAGGGATTATACAAGTTTGAAAAAAGAGGGTAAATTGATCATGATTTCTTTTTCCACATATGTATTCCCATTATCCTTCTTTACCCCTGTGTTATCAATCTCTTTTCAGTTTCTCTTTTGAGACAATATGCTAGATAACTTCCAGGTTTGTTTGAATGTTCAAAATGTTTTTGTTTAAAAATCTTAATTTCTTCTGTGCTTCCTCTGTCTCCATCAGATCTGATTTCTTAACTATCTGAGCTCAGTTAGAATTGATTTATCTAAGGATTTTTTATGATGATCCTCTAATATTTGAATTTCAAGATGCTTTTTAGTTTGTTCTAACTTTTTTCTTCTTTGTGGCAATTGCTATTAAGTTTCCTCTCATATTAGCTTTGCTGGCTTCCCATATTGTTGCTGTGAAAACGTCATTTGTGTAGTTCAATTTGAAGAATTCTTCCAAATCTTTTTCTCATTTCTTCAAGATGTCTTCTTGCAGGTTATAATTCAGTCTCCATCTTCTTCTAACTTGCTAGTCTTGCAAAATTATTTTTAATGGATGATCTAAGTTATCTTAGTTTGACTCCTTACTGTCTCCACATTCAAAACCAAAGTTTTTGATACCCAACAAATGTGGTTGCTGAGGCTATTAATGAACTCTTTGGATGGGAGAACATGGTTGATCCATCAATAGTATTGTAGTAAGCCAAGATCACTGCAAGGTAGACTCTAACAGAAAGAAGAACTAGGCCATTTGTTTTAACTGACAGTAGGAAATCCAAAATGGTATTACTGGTATGTCAACAAGAGGCTGGGCCCTGCTGTGTTGAAGAACAAAGGTCTAAAACACCTTCCAATTTGTTGCATAGAACTTACAAGTGGCAGGTCTGCAAGAGGCTATGAGGACTTCTAGCACCTAGGTAAAGAATGTGTCCTGTTGAGTATTTTCCATACTGTGAGGTGAAGGGACTGGACTACAGATTTGGATGCTGGATCCTTGTTTTGGTCATTAGCTGTATGGAAGGTATGGAAGGTTGGAAAGCAGGAAGAGAAATGCAAAGCACAGTTGCTAGGATGATCACGGAATGATTAATGTGCATGTGCCATGTTGTCTTAGATCTTGTTTACCATTTTTGTAATCAGCTGAAATGGAGAGAAGGCATAGGCTAGACATAACCAGCAATATGAGGGGAAGGCATTTCCAAGAGTTTCTAAGTTGTGGCTTGCACTGCGGCACAAGTTTGCACTGTGGCAAAGAGATTGATTTTTGGGCTGCTCCCATTTCCTAAGTATCATCTGGGCTAACCTCAGGTGAAGCTCTCAGTATTGTAGAGATGTGCTCCACATGCTGAGGGCATCAGCTATGGTGCTGGCTGTTCCTGCCTGGTGACTGGAATAATGGAGACATGTAGTCACCAGTCCTGGAGACTGGAAATATGATTCAGGAGTAAAAGGAACTGTATGTACCTTGGTTATTTACCCAGAAAATGTTGAGTTTCTTGGCAGCAGTTCTGAATGCCTAGAGGGCTTTCGCTATGGATAGGAGTTCCAGTTGGTCAGTATGTTCCCTGCATGACCAGAGACCTGCAACTGTGAAGGAACAGCAGCATATTCCCCAGCCCTGGAGTGAATATCTATTCCAACTGTGAGCATCAGTCTTAGAATACAGACTCGGGATCCCTGTAGGAAGCAGGGAAGAAAAGTCTATTGTCTGAAGGAGTGTCTGATGTTGACTGAGAGTGCAAGACAAAGATTCCTGGTGGTCCTTTTGAGGGTCAAAGTGTTATATGAACCAGAACTATAACTGCCTCATGCAGGGGTGGGCCAACAGGATAACCACTGTGATTGAAGCCATCCATTCTAAGATATACTGTATGGTGATTGCTTTTTGGGATGCTGCACGAGAAAATTTGTCTGTTAAGGAGAGGCTACCATTTGCTCTGTGCTTGGGGAGGTAGCTCCTAATTGTGAGGGAGTCTTAAGAATACACCAATAAATTGTGTTTCAAAAGGTAACAACTGAGATTTTGTTGAGATGGGACTGTTGATATAGCACAGGACCAGTAGATAGCTGAGGCCTCTCCTTTATAGAGACCATAAAGCTCCTTGAGGGGAAAACATGTTTGCTAAGTAGGGGTGCAATAGCAAATTGCTACTTAGAAGAATAGCAATTTCCTCTCTGAGAGATTATGTAGGACAACTGTAGTAAAAGACCTCTGAAGGGGGAAGTTTGTCAAATTCAATAGCTGTTGACCATGAATTGTCCGACATGTGGTGCCAAACATGGAGAAAGGGTCTTGGTCTGTAATGGGATTGAAGATTCTAGTACAAAACTCTGTACTGAAAATGAAAGATACCACTTGTTCTTATTGGAAGCTTCTTCCATTAATTGGCTGATGTTACTTGGACAAGAAAGGATGTTTGGGGTAGAATGAAGAGTAAGTAGTTTCCTTAGACACAGTGTTTGAATCTGACCTGGGGTGACCACTGGCAATGCCAGTATAGCCAGCATCAACCTTCTGGAATTATCAATAACTGGCAGATAAAGTTCATCTTGCCAACTGATGCCCTCATTTTGCAAACCCAATAAAGTGTGTCATCTGTGAAGGTACTGAGTAATCTATTGCTGTTGAATAGAAGGACCTCTATTCTTGACTTCATTTCCTGATGTAATTCTGTGGTCCAGAGCCAGCCATGAATGCCTTCTGAGGAAGATGATTTCTGTCACAGTCCTCGATCAATAAACTGCCATGTGTCATGCAGTGCTAATTTGCTGTCTTGCTTGTCTGTGAAACTCAGTTTGAAAAATTGTGGAAGGTTTTTGGTGTCTACAGGGAAGAGACTGAATAGACCACCTTGTCCCTCAGGAATTGTTAATATGCTGGCATACAGGCCTGATAATTTGCAATCCACAGGGATAAGGCAGTTGTGAAATACATTTTATAGCCAAAGGCTTTGAGTTTCCATCCCTGCACATCCATGGTGGAGAAATATGTCTTATGTTTAAATTTTGTTTGTGAAGTCTCCACAGTGATAGAATTTGGGAACACAGCTTTGAACAAGAAGGGATAGTCTTCCACCTGGATCCTACAGTAATTTTCAATTTTGTGACAGGTTTGTAGGAGAATGAAAGGTTTTGCTTATGACTGTCTGCTTGCAGATTAGAGCTGGTAGCATCAGAATCAAACACCAGTAGTACCTCAGCTTGAACCAAAACTGAACAGAAGAGAATGAAACTCTACTTAGTGTCTTGGGGTGGGAGGGACCAAGAAAGGAACATCTTTCTTTTATGTTAGGCTGTAATGCAGAGAGCACTCCAAAATGCTACTTGTCATTTGCAGCATCAAAGAAAGAACTGAGAGGTAAGCATACATGGAGGAGGAGGGCAGAACTCCTGCCAAAAGCTCTGTTTAGTTCTAGAATGTTCAAATGCTGCTGTTCTGAGGTGTATAAACCCTTGTGTGTCACAAAGTCCTCAAAGAGGAAAAGTTTTGTTTGAGACTTTTGAAAGGCATAGGTGTGCACACTGGGGCGGGGGGGATGTTTACAGGAGCATATGCAGAATTCATGGCTTGTTTGTCGGTTAAAATAACCCAAACTAGCCCATTTTGCATGTGATGCAACTGCTCTCTGGAGATTGTATAAATATGGACGCAGCTTGTGCAAGGCACACAACACAGCAAATTGTGACTTAATTAACTTGCAGGTTAATAAATGCTTATTTTTTCTAAGCACATCAACTCATTATTTGCCACCGTTATATGCAAACTGAACAATTTAAGCAATTCAGTGTTTAAACAGTTCAGGGTTTGCAGTCTAGGAACAAACACTGAATTATCTTTCTGTGTTGCTTGTTATTAATAAACCACCACACAGAATTCAGCAATCTATACTATGTGTTAGTGTCATGTGCCAACCAAACCATTATAAAGCTATACAGAGGATGCAATTTAAAGCAACTGAATGCCATTAATTGCAGTGGGCCTCAATGTCTAAACACACATAAAATAGGATTGTACTGTGAGTTGACACTGTCATGGTTGCTGAACAAAGACCTTCTAAAGATCCAGAGCAATCCCTTGATTCTGGATGGGATTTTCTTCCTTCAGGAATCCACATCATCTACATACTTCATCTTTTTCAAATCAGAATATGAACTTTACCTGTACACTCTTGTGAGCTATTTCTCCTGGTGTTGGCCAATTTGTTGCATCCCCAAAGTCACCAACCTGGTAAAATAAAAGCAGAGATATGTAATCAGAGCATTATATAGCAGATTTTTGTTTCTAAGATCAACACAGTATTTCTCCAGCCTGAAAACATCTGACCTCTTATAAAAACCCAAATCAAAATACCTACTATTTTTATCTCTCATAGCAAGAACAGCATTTGATGCATGATGCTATTATAGAGTGTGCTGAATGGACACAGCCTTCTTTTAGGCCTCTAGAGGTCCATTATACTTCAGTTCATTTACCTCATGACACACAAAACTCCAGAGAGATTAATTTTTAAAATGTGAAAAAATATCTTTATCATTTTCTTTCTTTCCAAAGTGCCTGCTCTAGCAATGATGGCAAGTAAGCACAATTAGTTTGCTTAGTTATGTTTGCTTTGTGTAAAACCTGCCTATTGCCCAACCTCTCTGTCATTTAATCTGTTCCAAGCTCCTCCTAAACTAGTAAACTGTAATTTCCACAGCCTTGAGAGGTACCACTTATTTGTTCCTTTTAAAGTGTAAAGGAAGGAGGAGCCACAACTCAAGATTTAAGGTTATATGCAGCTAAACATTGCTTTCCCGCAGACATTGCCACCTAGTGAACGAGGTGTCATACAACAGCAGCATTCTATCAAGTCCTTCAAATTATAATGCACAACCCATCCTAAAGGGGAGCAATTTCAAAGTTCTAACAGATTTGACCCGTATTTCTTGCCTTGTAAGGAAATGTTCTGAAGAAACTAATTTGGGACCCAAGAGTAGCTTTGCATATTTCAGGAAGTATCAATAGCAGATGCCAAGTGTCTCATTCATAACACCATGTGTACTTTTGGGGCAAGACGAATCATTAAAGAGATGCACACACTTGGAGCTTCTGCATCTCCACCTTCACAAGTCGCTCTGGATGCACAAAAACCAGATATGCAAATCACTTGTGTATGTTATTTTCTGTGTACGTTAAAAACTTATAATATATGCTTAAACAAAAAATGTTGGCTTTATTCATTTTGGGTGGATGAGTTAGAAAGGAAAGATGCTACTCTCCAAATATGTAGAAGAAAAATGCAGTCACTAGAGGCTTTATAGAAGAGGATGAAATAGCACATAATGCTGTCTTTCATGACTCTTTACAAAAGACTGCTTTTGGTTTGGGAAGATTGAGCTAAAACCCTTATATATGAAATACCCAACCAGTTTTCTTTCTATTTTATTGTTATATTTTCATGTCTTCATTGGACTTCAATGCTTGCTGGCATGTGGGTGCAATATTCAGAAAACTTTGCCATGAATGAATAAGCCTAGCTTGGCAGAGCCTCTGATTTTCAAGCACATCTTGAGTTTTGCCCACAAGCAGGGCCTGTAAGTGCAGATCAAATCAATGGTCTATCTTGCTTTCAGCTGTTTCCAGTCTCTTACACTTCAGACTTCAATGCAATTTCACCTGGTCTCTCTTTTGATAAAACACATCAGTATGTGTTGGGGGAAGGTTATAGCGAGGCTACTTAAACAGAACAAGAACAGCATGAAAGTATAATAATAGCAAGAGAGGTATTTCATCCATTTAATAATAAACTTTACTAACTACTTCCCCACAGAAATATACAAGGAAAAGTACTCTGTTATTAGGGACAAGGGCAAGCTTTTTCCCAGAGGGCATTACAGATCTCTAGACATGCTATTCCTCCAGCAGCACAGACTGAAGTATTTTCAGAACAGAACAAAATTATTCCCTGAGAATATAAGGGGAGCAGGAGAGCCAGTGGCACAAATACTCCAGAAGCATCAGAAAAAAACTGCAAGTTTAAAAAGTCAGCCAATGACTGCATGGGTGAGAAAGACTATAGGCATCATCAAAGTAATTTGCTACTGCAAGAACTATCCCATCCCTGGCAGCTACACATACAACAGTCCACGTACATACATACAGATCACTAAGTCCAACAATCACAGAACAGATGCACAAGTATTAATGGTTAAAGGAACGAAAGCCTAAGTACTTATGTCCTGAAAAGTGCCAGTCAGAAAAGCATATATGGAGCTAGAGGCCAGAAACTGCCTTGAGATTTTACCTACAAACTGCAAAGCAAGAAACTATTGCCTGAGAACCTTAACTTAGCTGTGTGATAATAAAAACAACAAATTCATATTAATGTATACATCCAGCTTCTCCCACAGTGCAGGTATCTTTGCATCATCACCTAAATACATCATGCTAATACATACCTTGCTTCCTTTTCTCTGCCTTGGGTTTGCTGCTTTCACTACCTTGGCTGGAGTTGAATGTTCTGGTGAGAGGGGGAAAAACACAAACATTAGTATGCTAAGCTGATCACTGAATAATTAGAACAGTTCTGTACAGAAAGCACAGTACTTCCTATTGCATCATTACATACAATCAGCATCTATCTGTCTTCTTAGGTCTGACTAGGTCAGCCTCTGGAAGACCCTAATACTTCTTCCAGAAGAGCTAGATAAAAATCAGCAGACTGATATATGATGTTTAAATTCAATATATAGAGCCATGGGTCTACTGGGATTTTTTTAGAATGTTATTTTAAATACCCTGTGCCTAGAAAAAGTTTGGTTTGCTCTTAGGTGATATATTCACAGCATTTGCCTTCAAATAATTCCCCCAGCCACTTTAAGAATGGGTAGTGCCTAGTTTTACAAGCCTGATCAGGAAAAAAAATAAACTGAATAGAATTGGCTCCACAACTTCATTGTAAAGGCAAGAAATCTAGGGAAGAATGGGGGGGGGGTTTCCCCCCCCACAGGCCATATCCCACTGAAGTCTTTCTTCAAAAGACTTGCCTTCCAGTGGAGAAATGGGAAGTAACTTCAATGTCTACAATGAACATCTCCCTTTTGTTAGCAAAGCCACCAATAAGGCCTAGAACATGGGTCCTCAAACTATGGCGCAGGGGATGGATCTGGCCCAACATGCCCATTTACCCAGCCCCCCCTGCCCATTTGGACCTGCCGTGTGCCCCCCCCCCCCGCCCTGCTGCCCACCTTGCCCGAGTGGGGAGGCAGCAGTTTGCTCGCTTGAAGAAAACAATCTCCAAGTGAGCAAGCCGCTGCCTCGTGCGCCCACCTTGTGGCGTGCGCGCCCGCACCTCGCCTGCCCACAGCCCACCTCACCTTGTCTCGTGCCCCACCCCCGCCTCAGTGCACACACCCGCACACACCACCCCTGCGCACACCACAAGTTCCACCTTTCCAGCCTGCACCCAGCACCAGCAGCTTTCAACTGGCCCCCTGGTTAAAATGTTTGAGGACCCCTGGCCTAGAATTTAAATTCCTACAGATACTAAGAAAGCCAGTGTGATGTAGTGGTTAAGAATGCAAGACTAGACTACAGCAATCTGGGTTCTAGTCCCCACTCAACCATGGAGCTCACTGGGTGATTTTGGGCCAGTCACAGACTCTCAGCCCAACCTAATTGGTGTTGTGGGGATAAGAGTGAAAGCAGCAGCAGAATGATGTAAAACAAGATGGAATATAAATCTAAATAAATAAATAAATAACTGGATTAAAAAAAACTGAACTGATTATAAATTAAGATTTCAAAATAAGTGGGCCTCACTACCACCAGACAATTGCTAGCCACACTTAATTTGGAAGGCCTGTTGCAAACTTCAAAGCCAAAGCTTTATTGTGTCTATCCTAGTATTGGATGGTAAATGGACACAGAACAAAATGCTCGAAGGACATACAGGTTTGCTTTGCTCAGCAACAGAAACAATAAAAGATTTGGAAAGAAGCTGCTTATTTGGCCTGACATTTCCGACTAGCACCCCCAATGGAATTTGATTTAATATACAATAATGCCATACACATAGTTGTTACCCTTTCTATATATGGCTGGCAATGTGAAATCATACCAAGAATTCTAGTACTTAGCATGAAGAAACTTCCAAGAGACCATTATTATCTCTAATAATGCACTTCGCAGATAGAAGGCATCAAACAAAAGAAAAGAACACTGTATGCACAATATATTTCATTCCAGATTTCCCAAAAGTAGTGTGCCTTGTAAAAGACCTGACCTGGATATTACGCAAGAACATTAATTAAATATGTATTTTTTCTACATGTATGTTTTTATTGTGTGACAACTCTTGTTATGCATGAAAAAACCTGCTTTGGAACACAGTGACCTATGTTTTTTAGTGCTGAGGGAGATAACCATTGAAATAGCAGAGAGCACTTGAAACAATTCAGGCGTATCCACAGTACATTAAACCTTAACTACAGCTCAGTGTTAGATATGAACCAGTCCAGTATGTCAAAAATTAATGGAATGCAATCCCGATATACAGGCTTACTCCTAAGTTTTCTGCTCTCCTTGCCCACACCCCAAAATCACTGCACACACCACTGCAGCCTCCTTCAATCTTCCACTCTTCTTGCCCACAAGAGTTTAGTGCCCACCCATAAGTCCCGGAACTGGCACACAATCAGTACAGTAAAATACTACACAGGCTTTTCATAAAGATTTTCATTTTCCTATGCACAACTGTATCCACTTTACTGTCATGAATGGGGGGAACTGAGGTCCAGATATGGATTAAATGATCTGCAGCAGACAACAGTGCTACTTAAAATACAGTCCAATCTAGCTCTGAAGCAATTCTGGACTTGCATATGTTCTACCTTTTCTTTATTGCTTTCATACATTTCCGTAGAAAGTATATGTAGCGAGTGTTCATTCACATAAACTATTTCCAAAATCCCAATAACCCGATAAAACAAAAGAAGAGATATACGAAACATTAGAATACAGATGATTTTATAAAAGAATGTTCCCAGCTATATTTATCTCCTCCACTTCCATGTAGAAAGATATAATATATTCATGTAAGGCATCCTTACAGAGAGAACTTGAGTTTTGCAAAAGGACATCTACAACTGTACCAGGATCCCTCAATCTTTGATGAGCTCCCTATAGAACAAGAGACCGTATTTTTATCCAAATGTTTTAAAGGAGTAGAATAGTTTCACACACCTCATTATATGCACAAATCTAAATCATATCAAACTAACCAGCTAAGAAGCATTCAGTCTCTTACAAGTCTTGGCTATCTTCCCTAGCTGTAAGACACCGTATTCCTCCATGTAACTTTGCTCCCTTTTTCATGTATCCTACAGGCCTAGTTTATACCCTGAGAACCACTAGACTAAATCTAAAATTGCAACAAACAACACTAGCAAAAGGCCTTTGCAACAAAAAAGAGAAGGACAAGAGAACTTTTATTCACCATATGCAGCTTTAATATGGGTTTGCAGGTGTCCACATAAACAGGAAAGTAAACTAATTTTTACCACTTCAAAAGTCTGACAACTTTTAATTAATGTTTTCTTTTTAACTCAGAGAAGAATATTATATTTACTAGTTTTGTATGGTTATGTGAATAACTGCAAGATAATACTACACTAACAGCAATTACTATTAAAACTCCTATTTGGTCATACAGACCCTCTAGGAAAGCAGAAATTGCTCATACATGCAGCATACTGAAAGTTGGTATGAAGTTCCAATGGTAGAATTAAAAAAGGCAGGTTTCTTTCTTTTAACTGTCGCTCTTTAAGCCGTCATCTACGCATTCAAACATACGGGCTTTGTGCCTGCACATAGCCTGCGATCGGAAAACTTCTATAGCTAGCTAAGCATTCAGTTGGATGGAAACCCCTCCCCTTCCTGTTCCAGAACTGCATGGGAGAAACTTCCAATCACCTCAGTTCTGTGAAGACTGCCATGGGTCCCAGAAATAAGGGAAGGGAGATCACCAATCCAATCCGGCCCCCTTGCACCCCTGGTAAGCAAAGGGGTGATTGTCAGAAGGATGACACCAAGTAGGGCTGGAGGGTGGGTTTGGTGAATGCACAGATGACCATTTTAAGAGTGATATTTACAGGTAAGCAACCTGCCTTTCTTCTTTGTGGTCTCTGTGCATCACATGTATGGATGAAAAGCATACCTTCACAGGAAAGAAGGGATAATAGTATCAGTGGAGGACAGTGGAGAGGACTGTACTGCTGAAAGAGCAGTCAGCCCTTACTCAGACATCTAGTCTGTACAACTTGACCAACAATGAGCCTGTGGACCATGTTGCTACCCTGCAGACTTCTAGATGCGGCTAGCGCTTGTGTGGAATGGACCTTAAGTGGGGGCATGAGTTGAAGACTGGCTATTTTGTATGCCAGAGAAATGGTACTCATGACCCAGTTCATTAGCCTCTATGGAGATAGTGGGTCCCCTTTGTTCTGCCTGCTGTAGCAGATGAAGAGCCTTGGCAAGTGACAGAATGATTCTGTCCTGAATCAGAAGAACAAGAAGGCTCTTCTGATGTCTAATGAGTGGAGGGTGGATTCCACCTGGTTTGCAGGAGCAGCACAGAATGTGGTGGGGGGTGGGCACTGATATAAGGACAACATGACCTTAGAGAGAAAAGCTGCGGTCTGGTTGGAGGACAGCCTTGTCTCTATGGAAAGTGAGATATGGAAAGTCAGATAGTATTGTGTGGGAAGAAATCAGATGAAACACTGATTAAAGGAGGTGCAGAGGGGGCCCCGGGGGGGGGGGGGTCCATGAGCAATGATACTTATCTCCCTTCTGGGTGTTTGCATGCCTGCCTAAAAAGTGGATATTGGGATCGTGCATCTTGTGCTGCGGAGGCAGGTAACTGCAGCCTAGGTGGACACTCAGCATAGGCCCTCCTTTATGCAGTCCGATTGTTGGTTGCTGAAACCCCAAACTCTGGGCTGTCAGCCTGGCCTTTTCTACAGCATTCATCCACTTGTCTGTCTGAGCAATAAAGAGGCATTCCCCATCAAAGGGGAGGTTCTCAATGTGGGACCAAGTCTACGGAAGAAGTCCTACTGTGTGAAGCCAGGCATGTCAGTGGGACAGCCATGGCACATGTCAGTGAGACAGCTATGGCGCCAAACATGGCTTTGACATCATGTCCATAGCAATCTGCTGGCAGACAAGCTTGGATGTCTCCATCTGAAACATACATGCTGCATCCGTGAAGTTGTTGGGCAGATGCTCACACCTGGAGCCAGTCTTTTCCCATAGGAACAGCTACTATTGGAACATGGTGACCTCACAGTTCAAGAGCCATGGGCCGAGCACCACAGCTGCACACGTGTCTCACCATCCCATCCAGGCAGTGCCCCTCCCTGTTGCAAGTAAGAAAGACAGTTGTACTTGGCACACATTTTCAAGGCTGTCTGGCTAAACTTCAAAGGAGGAAGAGGGAACCTTGGAACAGGTTGTTGA